AAAAAGCTCTTTATTTTTCTCATACTGCCTGTGCTGCAGCACCTCTTTTCACCCTCTGTCTGAAACCAGAGCCCAGTCTGCTCTGATTGGTTAGCTGGCCGGCTCTGTTGTGATTGGTCAACGGCTTAGAGATGTCCCGCCCCTTAGCCTATCACGTACATTGTGTTGGAGCGCTAGGTTATAGAAGCTATATTAATATTCCATGTCATATATATATATATACATATATACATATTGGTATATATAATAAATACATGTATATTTTCTATTTTATTTTATTTCTATTCTTGTTTATTTCTTTCTAGTTTTGTTTTATTGTAAAATGCCTTGTCTTTTATGCTGCTGCAACAAAAACTATTTCCCAAATTGGGATCAATAAAGTACCATCTTATCTTATCGTATTACGTAGTGATGCCACTATGTTCTGGAAGTAAACAAAGGAGTCCAACGGAGGTGGAACGTTGGGATTTTAGCCTTTGCAGACCATTTACATACACTAAAACGTATAAACAAACACACTACAGGAAGGCGAAAAAGCAGCCCCTTTAAGAGCAAATCAAGTTTCTTCCTCAACATTTTAGTGGAGTAGAAGTATAAAGTAGAATTTTGCATCATATGATAACGCATTACATGCTCCCCCCTCCCTCATAAAACAGGATACACATAACAGTCATAAGCCTTGTCAGTACATCTAACAAATATATCCTGAGCTGCTAAGAGCCGTGTGTTTATCTGTGAAATCCATTTCAGGGTACATTTTCCCTTGAAGTCCCTTCTGTGGCGTGTGTCATGCTTTCCACTTCCACCGTCTGTTTAACTGAATGGTCTTTCTGTGAGATTTGTGATGGAAACATTACAAAAAACGATACGAAGAAAGAGGCCCAGTCAGTCTGGTTAAAAAGCAGAGGAGCAGCTCAGTTTCTCTTCAGGCTGAAGGTCAAGAAATCATCTGACTTTGTTTGACTTTCCGAGGCAGTCATGTGTGCCTTTGTTTTGGCATTTCCTCAGAGGAAACTCCTGATTACTCAGTGTAAAAATACGCAAGTGACTTATGGGGGGTGGAATCCGAATAGCTCAAAGTCAACCATCAACGTTAAGAAAACTATTCACCTCATATGATTCCTAAAAGGAGAGTTTCAACCAACTAAAGAGCTGCAGAACTTTATCAGTGACGTAATTCTCTGCCATCACACAGGCAAAAAATGCCCAAATTCTATAAAAAAGCCTGTGGGTTTTTTCTGTGATCAATGAAAAGACAAGTAATTTCATCATATAATCAATCTATACTGACATGCACAGGTTAATGTGACATTTAACGTTGTCCGCAGTTCTGCATCCTGGTGCAAAAACATGCTGTCAGTGTGCTGACCATCACATATAACAAAATGTGACAGTGAAACATACAGGTATCTTATAATGGTCACCCCTCTGTGGGATTGTTTCACTGTACATAAATACTAAATGAACACGTTTACACACAGATAATTCAATCAGTTCACCTTCAATCAAGCCACTGAGGAAGCTTTCTCAGACTCAGTTTGTGCACTTGTCATGCATGTAATATGTTATTTGAACTGAAACATGTGTTGACAACCTCTATCATGTTAAGGGCCACAAATAAATATGTCCATCTATCTATCTATCTATCTATCTATCCATCCATCCATCTATCTAATCTTCTAGTAAGATGAACCATGATGGCTGGGAACAAGGTGCTTGTCAGCAACAGGAAAATGAGGCAACTCACTGAGTTTTGAATGGGAACCCAGTTACAAACTCCATTGGGAAATGTGCATATTTTAAATTGCTCCAGGTTTAACACCTTATTAATGGAAGTTAGAAGATAAATGAAGAGTTCATCTGTAATATAACCCCCATTTATTCAGTTCGGCGTGCTAACAGTCGATTAAAAACAATTACATTAGGTCAAACTGAACGTTTTCATTATATTCCCTTATCCTTACGAATCCCAGAAGCTGCCCTCTAGCACTAAAATGTGACGATAAAAGAACAACTAATTTACACTTCGTAGAAGAATATAGCTTTTTTGTTTGATTTTTTGAATGCCGAATTTACCAAAATAGACAACAAAATGGTAAAATGCTGTTTATTCAATTCTGGCGGGATGCATTTTTCCACAAGGCAAGATAACCTTACATTCTGAGTTTGTTTCAATGGGGTTTGGCGTGATGCAATTGGGTGTGTTCCCATGCGTAAACCGATTCAAAATTCAGAAATCGTGAGAAAGTATGATGTGTTCAAAATGCATCCTGGAAAAATAATGAGTTCATGGTAGGAAAATAGCATTTAACCTACCTGTCAGTGAGTGTTGACTGTGTGCCACTCATTGGGGCTTCCCTTTCCGACGACTTCACCCAAATAGCATTTTCTGGCTGTTATTTATTAAAACATGTTTATTTTGTCTCCTCGGTGTCCGTCCATTTCCAGAAACTTCGACGAGGTGTAATTTCCAGCATATGGAGTGAAACAAAATCCCGTTATCCTGATTTCATTGAAGGAAAATCCCAATGCAAAGCGAAAGAGGTCATATATTATTCCCAGAAGTCCACAAAATTGCTAGAAATAAAGAAAGTAGCAACTTTTTCCTTAGGGGTGTGAATGGGTTTCATTAGACAGCTGCATCGATAGAGACATCTGGAAGAGACACTTTTTTAAAAAGTTTCTTTCAAACTTTTCCAAACTTTATCTCCAAGTTGTGCACATCTCTATTGCTCCTTGTGAAATACTTCCATGTTGATGACACTGCAGACTATTCCTGATTATTATCCCGGGAAAGATTGCGTCAAACTTTGGCTGCTAAATCCAAAATGAAGGTCCAGAGTCCACAGAGTTTTTGAAGCATCCTCCTCCTCCAGGTTTGTTAATCCTCACCTAATTCGCACGAGAGTCTGACTTTTTTGTGTTGCTACAAAGTGTGATACAAATGGAAAAAGGAAATGCTTTGTGCCCCCTCCCCAAAAAGAGAGTCAAAAAAGAGGAGAAAAACCCACCTTCCATCCCGATGCGTTCAGGAGCTCCTCGTACTTTGCGAAACTGTCAGATTTAAAAAGCGATTTTGTGGTTTTATTTTTACTTTAAATCACAGATAAACATTGTACGCACATTTGTTAAGCACAGTTTGAAGGTTGTACTTTGTTTGAGTATTTTATTGTTATGCTACTTGTTCTTCACGATATTACAATGGGAGATATTGTACTTTTTAGTCCATTACATTTGTTATGACAGCTACTTTGCAGAGTGTATTAGACCTACTACTAAATCAGGATATTTTCACATGTTAGACCTTCCAGCAGTATAACTGTTATTAACCCCACCATCTGAAGTGATTAATGTATGGACAATTATAATGCAAACATGTATTTTTAGCCTATATAAACCAGTGGGACATAATGCAAATTGAGTATATTACTCTTGGTATTTCATGATAACTTGGGATTGTCATGTTTTTACATATAAAGTACAACATATACTGACTAGTGACACCCTCACAGGTGTAAACAATGTGAAGCATGTGTGATTTATATATGTGTATACAGTAGGCCTATGTAGTGTAAACAAATGTATCTGAATTATTTCGAAAAACACTTTAATACATTAATTGAGATACTTTCTCTGCATCTTAATGTTAATATTTAAACTAAACATGTTTCATATTCTTAAATTGAGTATTTATAAAGTCATTATGTTAAACACTCCGGTACAGTAGGTGGCGCTATACCCCCTTGCCGTTGGTTTTTAGTCCGCCAGTAAAAACCACCGAAGAAGAAATTCATGCACCCACAGGCCAACGGCAGAAAACAACGTAAACAAAGCAACATATTTGGCTAAATCAGGACATTTAATCCGTTTAGCTCTTGTTTTATTGTCTCAATATATTGCAGAATAACTGCTCGATGTTGTAATTTAGCTAAAAGTCTCATTGTCAGTCATGTTTGTTTGGATTTCGGGATTATAAAGGCCTTGAAGTCGTTCTGCTAACGGAAGGTAAGCTAACATGCTGACATTCATTGCAATGGTTTTCAAAGCGCGTAAAAAACTAATATTAAATGCCAATATCTTCCACCGTTTTCTGTGAAAATTTGACAAATGTATTGGGCATCATTGTATATTTGTGCACGAGACAATTTGATGATAGTGTAGAGCCAGTATGTGTCCCGTTTTCTGTTGTGTTGACAGCATTTGACCCATAATATGAGCAGCTTACTGTTTCTTTGTCTGCTACATGGAGGAAACTAGTGAAAATAAAACAGCAGGTTTCTTAATTAGCAACTCCTCTCCATTTTGTTTATACATTCCTTTCTCAGCTGCATTTCACTTAAACATAACCTCAGTTTGTGTGTGTTTGGCCTGTATGGCTGGATGCCCTGAGGTGGGCGGTGCTGCTCAGTGTAAACAGTTAGACAGTTAAGACTTTAATGCAATACATGGAGACTGGCGAGTTATATTTTTTATGTGGCTATTCTTTATTTATAAGATACTTGAAGATATTTCACCACTTAAGAAATAGTCTTGTTGTTACACAGAACAACGGATGAACTGAAACCGTATCTTTCAATACAATATAGCATTTGATAACATTTTTATTGACATTCTCAAAAGAGGTATTTGTAATAACACACATATACATTTGCATATTGGGAGATAATACAGTACATTATTTAAGTTTTAAAATAAAACAAAACCTTATAACATTATTGTGGCCATGATTGTCAAACACATAAAAAACATTTTGACAATCATTTACGCAATCAGTACATTTTTTGTAGTTTTTTGTCCTTTATCCACGTTTTGCACAAGTGCTGAGGGTTGCTGATTAGCAGAGTAATTACTCACAGCCCTTCCTCTGCGAGAAAAGCTTCTTTATTGGGAATATTTCATTCAATTAAACATTTAATTAAAATGCACAAAGGAACCGTCTCATGTTGCTCACACTGAGCTAATTTCACACAAGATTCAGTAATTGGAAATGAAAGATAATTAACTTGATCAGTCAGACTTTTGTTTTAAAGTTAAACCCTCAAAAGTGATTATTAAGGTCATATTTCTTTAGCAACATCTGCACAGGAGCAGTGTTTTTCTTAACTAATTTCATAAATGTAAAATCTAAAAAAATCTAAAATCCTACTTTACATAACCCTACATAATGATGACTTTTTGCCATGTTCAATAGCTGTCTGCAGTGTTTCCGCCAGACCAGGGCTGAGAGCGCGTCCACCCCGAGAGAGGGAGAGAGGGAGAGGGGGGGTGGGGGCGGTGGGTGACGTTGAATTTTGAATTGAGCCATCCCTTATAGATACTATCTCTTTATGTATGCACACACACACAATTTTGAATTGCGCCGCCCCTTATACTATCTCTTTACGTTTCCATGCCGACAGGGACACCCCTCCTGGCACGGTCCTTGGAAGATGCGGCGGTGTTTTGTTTTTTTCCGTCACAAGAACGCACTTTGCTGGTGGCGAAAATAATCCCACCAGACTCCTTTGCCCCTCCAACAGAGGGATGTCCTTGTCCTTTTTCCCTTTTTTTCTCGTAATTTCAAGCGATAAAAACTCTCGATCTTCTCTCAAATTATTTATTTTTTTGACGGCAAGACGCCCCCCCTGGCGGAAACGCTGGCTGTCTGTCTCTTATCCTTGGTTATATGCTATGGTTATTATAAAGGTTATCTAATCACGTTTTATTTTGTATTTACTCTCCTCTTAGCCCATGATTCAGCTGGAGAAGCCGGTGCTGACTGGGACCATGCCGGTGGTTTGGCCCACCATCCTGGACCTGGGCAGGGACGAGTGCAAGAGAATTCTCCGTAAACTCGGTAAGGTCATGAACTACAGAAGAAAATCTAGAGGGCTCATACTGTGAAGAGGCAGTTTTTTTACACTGAACACACACACACACACACACACACACACACACACACACACACACACACACACACACACACACACACACACACACACACACGCTCAAATATATCTATATATACACAAATCTTAACATATCTCGTGAAAAATCAAAGCTTATAACATACTTGTTTAGTATTGCCTTCCCAGATATCTGATTCTAGTTTTTATTCTATTTATTCTGCTGTTTTTTGAGTTTGCTTTAGTATTTGTATTCTTTGTATAGCTGTGTTTTATGTGTTTCTGTTTTAGGTTCTATATTCTTTGCTTTTTATGTGAATCCTTTTGAAGCTTTGTTTTAATACAAGCTAAAATATTATTGTTGTTTCGAAGATGCCTGAGAAAATGTTTATCAGGCCAAGAAATACATATTTGAGTTAATCTGATTGGACTCATATCCTTTATTAATTTGTTTATTTGTGTCCCCAGAGCTGGAGGCGTATGCCGGGGTGATCAGCGCCCTGCGAGCACAGGGAGACCTGACCAAGGACAAGAAGGATCTGCTGGGGGAACTCACTAAAATCCTCGGGTAATTGTTTCAAAAATATAATAAATCTTGATAAATGTGAGAAAAAACGTTGCTTTATTTACCGCACCGCTTGCCCAGTATCTCCACAGAGCGCCATCGTGCAGAAGTCCGCAGAGCTGTCAACGATGAACGCCTCACCACCATCGCATATCAGTAAGTGTATAACTTTAAATGAATTCTAAACATACACAGTGCTTTAAAATATTTACCGGTTTGTCACATTTTTGTGCTTTTAAATGAGTTTATTTTGACAAATGTGAGATTTCTTTCCGCTTTTCTCACAGCTGCAAACTGTAAATTGTATTTCTAAAAAGCCAATATCTACTTTATTAATGTTGCACGATCTCTTTGCAGCATGTCGGGTCCTAACAGCTCGTCTGAGTGGTCGATTGAAGGACGTCGCCTCGTTCCCCTGATGCCGCGGCTCGTCCCACAGACAGCCTTTACCGTGACCGCTAACGCAGTAGCCAGCGCCTCAGCCAATCAGAACGCCTCCTTTCTGATGCCAGCGGAAACAGGAAACAAAGAAGGTGGGCCAGCATCACTTTTGTAATCAAAGAAACATGTTTTAAATCAGATTGATGCAAAGTTGACCAATCGTTGTATTTCCTCCCTGCAGTGGTCGTATGTTACTCCTACACGAGCACCACGGGCACCTCCACCAGCGCCACAGCGAGCAGCGGAGCCATCGGAGCGGCGGTGAAATCTCCCAGACCCCCGAGCCCCTCCTCCAACGTGGTGGTGCTGCCCAGCGGGAGCACGGTCTACGTCAAGAGTGAGATTTGTCTGCTATTTGGTTATTTATCTAGCTTAAGTCTTATGACAACATTTTTATTTATTCGACCTCATCCTGTTTTTTCTTTCTACATTTTTACTTTTTAATTGAAAACTGACATTTGAGTATTTTTCAGTCATCAATTCATATTGAATCTGTCAGAAAATCCCATAATATCACCATGTTTCTTTAAAAAAAAGCCCAGTCTGAAATATTTTGTCTCCTTTTCCCCCTAAAAAATGTTTTGCATTTAATTTTTTATTGTTTTCCATTCAGCCTAAAGGGGGCGCTACAAGCTTATTTACAGTTTGTCATGTTATTGTGGTGTCAGGAACAAACACAACAGACCTAATTCCTCATGTGGAAACACATCTTTATTTGAGTGTTTGCCGAAGAACAATTGATAAAGAAATTCCTTCACAATGTAGACTTTATACTGGCTGAGATTTAATCTTCAAAATAAAATATATAATTTGACAATGTTTCAATCTGTGCCAATGTAGGAATGCATGTTAACCCTTATGTTGTGTTCGAGTCTCACGTGACCCGTTCCAAGTTAAAATGATATAATAACTACGCTCTAGTGTTTTGTATCGGAACAAGGCTTCATGATATCCTCCTCAACAGCTATATCAACTCTACGAAACAGATTTTGACCATTTTAGCCAAGTCTGAAGGTCTCTGTTTTGGGTGACTCGAGGTCAAATTTGGCCCAATCAAGATTCATCTTTGACTTTAGACACCCCAGCCCCGCCCCCTTCAGCCATTGTAACAATAATTGTTCGCATCATGCACCTGGTCTCCCCTCCCTCTGCCCCCCTCCCCCCACGGGAACTCGGCCTTTCTCAAAGAATATGTACTCTTACACTTGAACCTGAACAAACACACATGCACGTGTGCAATATGTGGTGTGATGTGTTTTGGGCCATAACATTAAATTAGAACAGGATTGTACGGTTATGAATGCATAATGAGTTAGTTATGATGTAGTTCAAACAATATTGGATGATAGTCATTTTGTGTGTGTGTTTTGGACTGAGATACACCATGAACGGTAAGAGCTTTCGAACACAACACAAGGGTTAAACAGCAGTGTATTCAAATTCAAAACAAGGCTTTGACATGATTTCCCCCATTTCTTCTGATATTTTAATGACAAGACAATTAATTAATAAAATAATCAGCAGAGGAATCGATAATCCCACGAAATAAATACGTACTTCCTAGATTATACCTCCTCCTGTTTCCCTCCCAGGTGTGAGTTGTTCGGACGAAGAAGAGAAGCCTCGAAAGCGCCGGCGGACCAACTCGTCCAGCTCGTCTCCGGTGATGCTGAAGGAAGTGTCCAAAATGTCCCCCCCGGTGTCCAAGAGCATCACGGTGCCGGTGAGCGGCAGCCCCAAGATGAGCAACATCATGCAGAGCATCGCCAACTCGCTGCCCCCCCACCTGTCCCCCGTCAAGATCACCTTCACCAAGCCCACCATCCAGACCACCAACACCACCACGCAGAAGGTGAGGGAGCCTTTGTGTTTACTTATGTTTCAAAAAAGGCTGCTCTGATGTCATTAGAGGATAAAAACTGATGTCTTTTCTTTGGCTTCACCCACGTATTTTAGGAGCTAAGGTGTAACTGAGCTAAGATAAGATGGAACTTTATTTTTGCTAGGGATGCTCCGATCGATCGGCCGATACTCACTCTCTGCCGATCGATCGGTGCTCTCTAAAAATGCACATCGCGAGAGCCGATCGCATGACGTAAAATGATGACGTAAAATACATGACACTTTTCTCTGCAAAAGCAAGCTCGCCAAAATGGCTTCACCGGTCTGGCAGTATTTTAAGGTGTCTGAAAAAGACAGTAAAATAGCGGCATGCAACGTGTGTGAAGCAGAAATCCTGCAGCTCCACCCGCTGTGACGGACCGGTGAGCGGAGCGACACACACACTAATGGCGCATTCACACTACAGCGCGGAGCTCGCTTTAAGCATGCCGAGCCGTGCGGGGCCTGTTTTTGGTTGCGCTTCCACTTGGCCCGGGGCTACTTTTTCAACTTTTTTCTGGCCCGACTAAATCGTGGTTCTATCGAGGCCAACAACCAGGGCTGAGTCGGGCTGAGTTTCCTAAACTAGAGAGAGAATCGCTGTCAAGGGGGCTACAACTACAACAAGATGAACATATTTGACCGTGATTAAATTGTAATACACGTTTCTAAATGATGCCGAAGTAACAACATACTGATACCGGTTAGTAAAAACCATGAATTAAGGCTTTGACAAGTCTGCAGACAGACGGCAGGCGAAAAACCTTTTAAAATGCGTGTTTTCTGATGGAGATTTGGCTAAGCTAACGTTGTAAATGCTCCGACCGTCCACACTCACAACAACGGACTACAGTCATAAATAAACCAGCGACTGTATTCTCCATGACTCAGACAGTCTGTGGTTTGTACTCGTTTAACTTTTGTCTAGTTTCTGAACAGATATGAGGAGCTGTGAGCTCTGAGGGCTAACAACTAACGGCTGTGTTGTTTTTCTGGGGCGCTCAATTGAAGATGACGTCAGGGCTCCGCCTACACTGCGTTACTATAGATACTACCCCAGTTCCTAAACTGTAATGTGAGCGCAGCATTAAAGTGAGCCAGGCCTAATAAGGCCTAACCAAACCGAGCGAGGCCTAGCGAGGCCTGCAGTGTAAATGCGCCATAAGTGATTACCGGCACACCTACATGTAAATATGTTTAGCAATCCAGAGTCAAATAGGTATATATGTTCATTTAATTCAATTCTTATTTTAACAGTTACATATACCTGTATATATTTTGTGTATATAATGTTATCTTTAATTTTTATTATCTTGTGTGAATCTGTTCTGTCCTGTTTTTCAATCTCACTCGTTTGATGCTTAAACTCCTAAAGGTCCATCTCATCGTATCTTAT